ACACCCAAGCATATTCCTAAAATAAAAGGTTAAGAGATTCTTGTGTCCCATATCAGAAGATCCCTCTGGTGCGGGACAAAGAAAAACCAATATTTTTATTTCAATCAGGTTGATTATAAATGTGATCTCTTTCTAAAGAAGAAAAGGGGATATGATAGGATGAAAGGGTAGATTGTTGAACCTACTTTTAAAGAGCAACTTGTTTAAAAATGCTTTACATTGCTATAGATTTTAGTTCATCGATACAAATTTAAAGTTAATTTTGTTATACTGTATGTATAGTTTTACTCTTGTTTAAGGTATTATGTTTGTACAGCTCACTTAAAATTGTAATGAATAATTAAGAAATAGATTAATAATTAGTCATCTATGATAATCATACTTGTAGCCATGTTAGTTATGTTTTCTAGGTATATATAGATATATTTCAGACAGACAGGTAAACTTCAAACACTTCAAAGACCTATAGAATATGACAATTAAAATATTTTTAAAAACTTAGACTTTCTGGACAGTGAGACATGTCTGCTCCTGGAAGCACCAGATTTACTTCAGAGAGGAGGATGGGCATCAAAGATACTCCATATGGAGTTTATCTTCTTCTTGGCAAAAATAGCCAAGAAACTGTTCTTACCTGGACTACTTGATCAACTGGACATGCAGGACCCATAGGAAGGTGACCACTGAACTTTGCTTGGCAAAATGGTCCTTCAGAGGAAACTGCCAGACATTCTACAGGACACAGAGAAAAGTGACTGAGAGACTCTAAGCCTGTGGGCTGAAGACAGATTCCCCAACTTTACCAAAGAACTGTCCAGGCTGCCAGCTGTCTCTGTCTACTCTTGCGAGATTCCTGAAAGTTGCTTGCATCGTTTTCCCATTTCTCAGGTAATATTATATCCTTCTGAGGTCTTTGATGTAGTTGAAGACTAGATAGTTATAATTTCCTCAGTTATGATAAAAGGTAAGTTAGATATGAAACCTTAGACTCACAAATATAGGATAGATAGGATATCTTCTTTAATTTTGCCAAATACAAATAGACTAGGTATTATAGATAGACTAGATATTTTAACTGTAATTTTTGCTTGATAATTGTTCTGTTATATGTAATTTTACTATGTGAAAGTTAAAACCTTCCTTAAAAAAAATGAAAAAGGGGAGGTGCTGTGGATGATTGATTGATAAATAAAACGCTGATTGGTCAGTAGCCAGGTAGGAAGTATAGGTGGAACAAAGAGAGAAGAGAGGTCTGGGAAATGGAAAGCTGAGGCAGAGAGATGATGCCAGCCACCACCAAGACAAGCAAGATGTAAGGTACCGGTAAGACATGAACCACATGGCAACTTACAGACTAATAAAAAAATGGGTTAATTTAAGATATAAGAACTAGATAACAAGATTCCTGACATAGCCACACAGTTTATAAGTAATATAAGTCTCTGTGTGTCTACTCAGTTGGGTCTAAGCGGCTGTGGGACTGGCAGGTGAGAGATATTTGTCCTGACCTGGGCCTGGCAGGACCAGGAAAACTCTAGCTACACTCCCCACCCTCCCTTACCTCCCTCCTACATCCATAGTGGTCACAGCTGTTGTTGTTCCTGGTTATCCATCATTATAAAGTTAGGAAAGTAGTGTAACAGTCAAATGAATTTGGTAGTTAGGAAGTTACAAGACATCACATACCTTCTATCATTGAGTTTTGTTAATATCAGTTTGTTAACCTATAAAAGTCATATGCATATTATAGAAAACACAGAGAAATGAATAAGCCTCTAGATTACATAACAAAGGGAGTCTATGCTTCTAGCTTTAATTTCCATCAGAGTTAATAACACAGAAAGACTGCTGTGTGAAGGTTCTGTTAAAAAAAAGTTTAAGAATTGGTCAGCAGTACACTTTGAAGCAAGGTCCAGTTTGCTATGTATTTGTGAGCCAATATTTCCTTCTTGCTTAGAGTCTCTGTAGACCTAGTTAGTAATTTCCTTAGAACACAGAAGGAGATTCCCTTATGAATGGAAATGTCCTTAATGGATATACAGTTGTTCAAGAAGAGAATGATTTTTTAAAGTTATAATCTGTGCAGAAAGTTTTTCGAGGGACGAGTTTTTGTGAGAACTATGGCAGACACACACTCTCAGGAGTAATAGTTCAGCAGAGACTCACAAGCTCAGGAGTAAATAATATATCAAAGGCTCACACTGTCAAGAGTAGATTGTATAGCAGAGACAGAAACACTCAGGAGTAAACAGTACAGCAGAAACATATGCTCTCAGCAGTTAATAGTATAGCAGAGACACCATCCTCAGAAGCAAATACTATAGCAGAAATGTGTACTCTTAGGATTAAATAGTATAGCAGAGACTCATAATCTCAGCTGTCATTTCTCATTTCTCTCTTTAATTTTAAACATATTTTAAAAGTAAAAAAATTCATATGTGAAAATTAACAAAACCTGAAATCTACAATGTTTTCAAATATTGTTTTAACTTGGGAAAGGTATGTTTCATTTGTTGATGCTATGAAATGTTACTTTAACTGTAATGTGTTAAATTCATTTCTGCTGCCTTTGTTAATGATATAAAGATATGTTGAATTTGCTTCACCTTGTTTGCCTAAGGCACCTGATTGGTTCAATAAAAAGCTGAATAGCCAGTTGCTAGAGAGGGATAGACAGAGCTTGCAGGCAGAAAGAAAAAATAGAAAGAGAAATCTAAGATGGAGGAAAAGGAGAGGAGAAGGCAGAGAGGGCCACACCAGGGCCAGAAGCCAGGCAGCTTCCAGACAGCCATGGAGACAGCAGGGAAGCAAGATATACAGAGAAAAAAGAAGGGTAAAGAGCCCCGAGGCAAATGTAGATCAAAAAACAGGTTAAGTTATAAGAGCTAGCAAGAAACAAGCCTAAGCTAAGACCAAGCATTCATAACTAATAAGTCTCCATGTCATGATTTGGGAGCAGGTTGGTGTCCCAACAGAAAGCCTGTGAAATTACAGAGGTGATGAACTTCTTCTGTACAGTTAGAAAAGACATTCTGAACAGAATTTGAGGCATTCACATTGGATTTGACACTATCTGCACTGAATATATTTTATGCACTTATACACCATGAAAATTAAAGTCCATGACAGAGTTGGAACCTGACAATCCGTTATCATATGTCCTCTTTCACAACCCATGTTCATTACCTGCTTTAAATCCTTCCTCATCTTCAAATATTTAAACCTTATTCTCTTTTCTACTTTACGTAGTATACGCACATATACATTTCCTCACATATGCACATATATTACTGTTTATATTAACCATATGGGAAAGAAAATGCAATGTATTTCTTTATATGATTGGATGATCTCATCTGATATACAGTCAATGTCCATCAGTTTTTCTGTATATTTTGTGATTATACTTTTTTAGGGCCAAATAGCACCACATCTGTGTGTGTATATAAAAACATATACACTTATATTTACCAACATATTGTCCATTTTGTGTTCATCGATGCTTATGTTGATACAGGGTTCTTTTTTTGATTCAGGTTTTTTACAACTGAGAATAAAGAAGCAATAAACATGGGGTACAAATATCTCTATATTAATGTGTGAGGTTCCCTGAGCATAGCCCAGGCGTGAAACAGGGGGGACGGTGCAGGGAGCTGAGCCCTGGTTCCTGTGGTGTGAGGTCATAATGGGTGTGAGGTGCTGACTTGTGAGGTTCCAGTTGTCACTGCAGCACCCAGAGTCTATGCTGTGGTCGTCTCAGAGCTCCTTGAGACGTGGCTCTAACCACAGACTGGACTGCATCTCAAGTTTAGTACCTGCCTTCAGCAGGCTCACAGGGTCCAAGAAGTGACCAAAGATTTGACTCCATGTGGTCACCTGGCTGCCTAATGAGCAGCTAGCCACACCTGCACCGGTAGGAAGCCTTGGCTGCTGCCGCTTTCCTAGGACTGTGAGGGTAGGCAGTGTTTAATACGCTTGAACCCTGTACAGTCTTGCTTCCACAGTAAACCTGAGGCCTCATGCGTTCTTCGATGAACTACATACTTCAAGCTGGGATAAATGATTGGATGATTATCTGCTTTGAAATAGACATTTTTTTCCCCCGGAGTTGAGGACCAAACCCAGGGCCTTGTGCTTGCTAGGCAAGCACTCTACCACTGAGCTAAATCCCCAACCCCTAAACAGACATTTTTATACCACAAGATAAACAATGGTATTTTTCATACCATTCTCATTCTCATTCAACAACCACAATAACTTGACATTTATAGACTATATGAAATATATTACAATCATTGGAGAGAATAAGGTCAATATTGGCAATCCTGGTAATTTCAGTCAATGATAAATGTGCTCAGAGAAAAGAGTACATCCATGAAAATCTCTGTGTTGTGGAAATGCAATTTTGAAGGGAAAGGACTTCAGTCCTTAGAGGCTGCATTCCCCTGCAGCCAGGAAAGGCTAGATTCCTTCTTAAGGCACTTCTGAGTCTTCATTCAGTGGACACTACTGAACTCACACACCTGCACCTCGAACCAAGGATGGTTTGAAAATCTCTCTCTCTCTCTCTCTCTCTCTCTCTCTCTCTCTCTCTCTCTCTCTCTCTCTCTCTCTCTCTCTTTCTCTCTCTCTCTTCGAGATAGGATTTCTCTGTGTAGCTTTGGAGCCTGTCCTGGATCTTGCTCTGTAGACCAGGCTGGCCTCGAACTCACAGAGATCCGCCTGTGTCTGCCTCCTGAGTGATGGGATTAAAGGCGTGTGCCTCCACCGCCCAGCATTCAAAATCATCCTTAAAGATACTTTTCATGCCCTTGTTAGTGTATTGTGCAAGTTTCCCTTACTTGTCTGAACCAACAGCCTGCAAATAATGACAGTTAGTTTTCTTTCCTTTTCATTTTATTTTATTAACATTTTTTTCATTTATTTTAGATACCAATCACAGTTTACCCTTGCCCTCTCCTGCCACCCCCCCCCCCCCCCGCCAAACTACCATCTACCCCTTCTCCCCATCCATGCATTCCTCCTCCATCGCCATTCAAGGAGGGGCAGGCCTCCCATGTGTTTGAACAAAGCATGACATAGCAAGTTGAGGTAGGACTGAGCTCCTCGTCCTGCATAAAAGCTGGGCAAGGTAATCCAGCATGAGGAACAGGTTCAGGGAGACTTCTTAGTGATTATGAAAACTTGGCCTTTAGCTTAGGCTTCTCCCCAGCTAGTTTATATTAAATTATAACTTAATTTAACCTGCCTTCATTAATCTTCGATCTGCCCCATGGTTTTTCTTTAAATGTCTCCACCATTCTGTATGCCCGACTTGGTCCTCCAGTAACTGGTGTCTCCCTGCAGCTGGATTCATCTCTTCTGCTCTATCCCATGAATCTTGCCTGTCCTCTCCGGCCTAGCTATTGGCCACTCAGCTCTATTAAACCAATCAGAAGGTGCCTTGTCAAACAGATCTTCACAGTATACAAAAAGATTATCCCGCACAGTATTGTTTTGTCATTTTACAGTATAACTGAGTCAACATGATTCTTATCGCTCTAGGAAGATTAAAATCAGTACATATGGACAGCAATGATTGTAAACCTAATATTTCTGTCAAAGAAGTCTTGACTCACATACACACATCTCCTGTTGTAGATCTGGAAGTGAACACCAGACTGACTCCCCATGGCTGTTTGAAAACAAAACAGTAGTCACATTGTTAAGGAACCACATTGTTATACATTGTTAGTTAGTCTCCATACTTTACAAGAATAAGTTTCTGTTTCCTAAGCCTAATGACCCTCCAAAACATGTTTCAACCTATGCTGAACTTGTGACAGTATGATGTCTGCCCATCGTTTGCCTTACAAAAATAACCTGTGATATGATTGCACTTTTGCCTTATGAACATGTTTTTCCAGATACCTTGATGATTCCCCTCCCACATGATGTATTATTGAACTTCAACTTTTTTTTATTTTATCCTTTCTAACGGCCAACTATCTCGACATCTGTTTTCTACTAATCATAACCCTCATCAAGGGAACTGAAAAGGCTATGGGGGGTGGGGGTTCTGTTCTCTGAAATACTGACTTTGGGAGAGAAAGCCAACGGGCCAGTTTCTGGTGCTCCTGTAACATGAAGCTTGCTTTAATCAGACATTCGTGCAGTTGGCTTTTCTCAGGCCTAACAGCTGTCCACTGGATTGTGTTTCTTCCTCCCAAACTCTCCTGCAGGCAGCCAAATTAATCCAGGAAGAGTAAAACATCATCTCACTAGGAGTCCAAGAATTCCTTTGCTCAGACTTCTGGGAAATGTAGTCCATGCGACTGTGACATCATAGGGAGCCCTCCAGGAAATCCCCTTCGAGTGTTTAGTCCACACACGTGCAGCTTCCCTACAGTTGGGAGAGTGTCCTGACCTGCTCTACATTCCTGTTGCGTCTCTGACATGGAGGTTGGTCCAGGGTTCAGCGCAGCCTGAGGCACTGTGCGGGGTGCGGGGGTCCGACTTGGAGGGAGCGGACCTGGGCTGGGTGGGAGGACCGAAAGAACTGCCTTGGTGCTATGCTAAACTGGCTGGGTCACTTGATGTTGCCCCTCAGGTCTGGGGAGAGGGCGATAGGGACTGTGCCCTGAGTGACAGTTTCCTTAGGATGTTCCCTGCAGCCCGAGTCCCCCTTGGGCTTCTGGGACAGGAGAGCTGCCTGGTAGCGCGGAGTAGATGATAGTGCAAAGTCCAGGATTGCAAACTAATGATGGTCAGCTGACTGCCTGCTCCTGAGGTGGAGCTGGGAGCTCACTGAGCAGCTTTGGTGGGGATGCTTCTCTAGCTGAGCCTTTCTCACATGGACGCTGTCAGATTTCTCAGTAATTGCCTTATGAACATGTTTTTCCAGATACCTTGATGATTCCTTTCCAACATGATGTATTATTGAACTTCAACTTTTTAGTTTATCCTTTCTAACGGCCAGTTATCTCGACGGGGCCTGGTCCTTCCTGAACTCTGTAGCCGCCCAATGTAACAGTCTTGAGTTCTTGATTGTGTTCATCTTCTTTGCCAGTTAAAGAATTAAGAAAGGAAAAACCTGAGGCTCAGCAGTTCACCGGTGGGAAATTTTGGAGCAAAGCAGACAGCTCTACCAGAATCAGCTGCTGTAGAAAAGCCTTGACTAGGGTGAGCGAACACACATTCTGCAGTCATATGGAGGGAAAGACCCAGTGCACAGCTCAATGGGGACTAGGGAAGCTCAACCCAGCTTCACCTTAATGGCTGGGTTTTCTTAAATCTTTGAAAGGTCCTCCATCCTTAATTTAGGTCTGAGTATTTGTAAGAAAGTACTGATGTCTACTTGTCCCAAAATGGTTGTGTCAACATGTTTTCATTGAAATTATTGAGTTGTCTAATAGTAGGGTACCTAGACACAGGTAAAAAACTCTCATGGCCTTGGGTTCCAGTGCCAGGTTTTTGTGTCAGGTCAGCGGGGTGAGGAAGAACTCACAGACTGTGTGTATTCATGTGATTTACAGTATACAGACCTGTGATAGGAAAGAAACTCCAGTCTACTGTATTGCACATCCCTGTCATCTCTGCATTTGTGAGGGAGTGGGGAGGGACCTCTGGTCCTCCTCTGCTTCAAATTCAAGGATGCCTAGGATACCTGAGTCTGTGACAGAAAATACTTGACCATACTTTATAGACATGATAAATACTTTCTGTTGTCCATTTCATGTTTCTTACACATGCCTAACTTCTGAGGCCCATTCTATGTGTAATTTAAACTTTTTTCACTATCATGCTTTTGTTATAGGTGTTAAAATTTGGTGATTATGTGCTTGCTCTCATTTACTCTGTGAGGAAGAGTTCCTCTTTGCCTGGCTTGAATATTCCTCCCTATATGCAGTGATTGTTCATTCTTTTTGGATATTAATCTGTGTTAGTTACTGTCATGACCTGATGCTGATTTCTTCTGGTTTCACTGATTTCTTCCAGGTTGCTCCTTTCATATCTAATCTGAGACTCCATTATTTCTTCATTTCCATTCTGCAGTTCTTGACTGATGTGGCTGCTGTGGTTACATTCTTGGGTCTTTTTCTGCAGCTGCACTGGGATGCCTTCCCCTGTCCTTACTCCAGAGGTTCCACTGTGTGCAGATGCTTCTTACAGTGAGCCAGAACAAAACCACTTCCTTCCTGTCCTTCACATGGGCACTGCCATATCCAACCAGTAAAGCCAAGTGCTAATGCTGGTTCCTGCTCTTCACAGTTCCAGTCCAGTTCCCCTTGTTGAGCAGTCCTGTCTCTTTCCTCCAAGGCTTCTTTCATTGTGTTCTAATGTCAGTGTGAGGGAGGGAGTTCCTTGTGTTTACAACTCATGCATGAACCTTGCTGTGTTAGACATGTTGTATGTGGAAAACTCTGGAGGGGAGGTGTGCTGGGTGAGGACATTCAGTTCCTGTTGATCGATCTACATGACTATGTCAGAGGCCATGGAGAGACATTGCAAAAGATTTGAACAGGAGTGAAACACATATGTAAGGAGTAAACCCCTGATGCACAGATTTTCATTACATTGTCAACTGTGGTTATTAAAGTGTCTGCCGTAGTGTCCTCCACAGTCATAATCAAATGCAACAACATATTTTGAGTTGAAAGGTGTGTGGTTGCAAGCCCAACTCTTTCAAAATCAGCATTTCATTTTTCTCTTCTTTGCAATACCTATATGAAATTAAGTCAGATCTAGAGAATACTTGTGCCAAATCGTTGTGGGATATATTCACATAGTGTTGGTTTTAAGAAGACTCAGGGACAATATATGGCCTATTAAAATCCACAAATACATCTAGACATTCAATGTACAGAGCAAAGCATGTCATACTTATTTTGAAACTAAAATAATAATTATATAATTCTTGTTCCCAAAGCAGATTTTATTTGTTGTTGTTGTTGGTCTTTTCAAGACAGGATTTCTGTGTGTAGCAAGACCAGGGTGGCCTTGAACTCAAAGAGATCCAACTGCCTCTGCATCCCAAGTGCTGGGATTAAAGGCCTGAGCCACCACAGCCTGGCCAAAGCCAGTACTATATTTTGTCTCCTATATTTTTTTCATGGTTTAACCAAGTTTCTGTGTCATAAAATTGCATAACTTGGTGGCTTGAAGCCAAAATTAGTGATTGTTTCATAGCACAGTTGTGTGAGTAAAGCCCTGGGACAATGTTCCAGGCGTTGCTTCTTCATGGTGTGTGTGCTGCGTATTGAAAGCAGTGTGTTATGTTATCAGTAGATTGGCGATTTTCAATGGAGGGTCACTGTGTTTTAGTTCCTGGCCAGGAATCCAGTCGTCTCTTTGCATATCATTTTGACTTCCCACCAATGGGAAGTAAAAAGAACATTTTTTGTTACTGGCCTGTTTTTGTGTAATAAAACTTTGGGAAGTGGCAATACAGAACTGGATCTGAGAAGCCATTGATCATCCCCATGTGGCTCTCAGCACAGTAGCAGCAGTTCTCGTGTTGGCCCTGTTCTGCTAGTCTTCAGTTCTGTCTGACTCTCTGAAGAGGTGTCTCTGATGGACACTGACAGGAGATGCAGGAGTTCCTAATGTATCTACTCTGTCCATTCTGCTGTTCTAGCCTTGCCTCTAGGACCAGTCTCTATTCAAGTGGACTACAGATTTTGCCTCTCAATTGTAGTAAGAATGTTAGTAATTTTTAGTGGATGGCCATGTAGCCCCTCAGGCCAGACATAATTTGCATTTTTCTCCATTTAAAGTGAATTTTGCCAGTTTCAAATGCCCCTGAAATGTTTGCCATTGATAGAATTGAGTAAAATCTTTACTAAATGATATCCTGTTTACAGGCACACTGCCCTCCACACACAGTGTCTCATAGGAGATTGACCCCAGGACAGCAGACATTTCCCCATGTAGAATGGTGCTATGCTCTGCTGGCCAATATGGCTAGTGATCCTTATAGTTGATTCTGCTTTGGGGACTGGTCAAGTTCTCTCAGAAGTTTATGTTTCCATCTTCATCTTCTCTGGGCTCTGGCCCTTCTCCAGTCCGGTCATTTTTCCCTCTTCTTGGTGACCCCCAGCTCTGCAGAATCACCTTTCCTAAAGCTGCAACCCTTTAATACAGTTCCTCATATTGTGTTGAACTCCAACCATAGAATTATTTTCCCTGCTACTTCATAACTGTATGTTTGTGAAGGTTATTTATTGTAATGTAAATACTTTTGGATTTGAAGGTTTGCCAAAGAGGTCATGACCCACATTTTGAGAACCACCGCCCTAGTTAAAAAAGAGTGGGATCTGTTTTTCTCTTTCTTACTTCTAAAGGTGGTAAGATTCTATACTGGCTACAAAGAGGATTGCAAAATAATTCAGTTTCTTTTCCCTTGAGAAATTGCTAGATGTTCTATTCACCAAAGTATTTCATTCTGCCTATTTCTTGAAGATCTACTGGCCTCCTCATTGCTGCTCAAGTCTGCATTTTATTTCAAGACATTTTTCTATGTAATTATTCTTTATGGAGGATACATTTCAGTTGACCCAAATTCTTGCACCATGCCCTGGAGACACAAGAGTCAGGGGACTGGAACTGGATCTGACCTGAAGTTTTTCTGCCTAAGGGTGAGTTTGCTCAGTCCTGTAAGGTGCTTTGCAAGCTCCAAGGGAGGGAAACAATAAATAGTCCTGCTTAGCTGTTATGACTATGAACCACAACAATGACCAGTATGGCATGATATCTCTAAAGGTGCCACAGTGCGTCTTACATCTTGGCCTTAGCAGCAGCTGTTAATGGGACTTAGAGTAGACATGAGAACCTACATAATGCTTGGAAGTTGCCTCTGATGACTTGTTAGATCTTAAATCGTAGAGGAGAACATACTAATGCCACTAAACCATCATAATTCCTAATTGCACTCCAAGTACTTCTCCTTAGACCTACAGTGGAGTGTAGCTGTCACTGCTCATCAAAGGCGCTTCTTTCTGCAGCACAGAGAACATTCCAGAAAACTAAAACTTACAAAGTGCACAGAACTATTGTCTTGTGGTGCTTTGACCCAAAAGATACACTACAGCACAATTATTGCAGTATCTCCAGAGAGGGGGCATATTGATTATGAGAGCCAGAGGCCCAGGAAGTCTGATGTGAGGTTGTGCCTTCTGGAAAGTGAAGGGAAGCCACACCCATGATGCCCCAACAACATGGCTGCCTGAACAAGGACTGATCAATGACAGTGGCACAAGATCCCCTGCAGGGGGCAGTCTGCTGGGTAAGCATCCAAGTGTAGGCACCTGAGAACTGCTGAGAGAGGGAGAATTAGTGTTTCCAGGAGGAGAGCGCTCACTGTTCATGGAGTAACAAGTGGTCAGTCCTCAAACGTACACACAGTCAACAGTGAACAGAATCGGCCATTCATGTTTATACAGTTATGCATATATTTTCATATATGTATATTTATGTGCTCTGTGTGTGTGTGTACCAATAATAATTACAGAAGTATACACTATGTATTCGAATTGGAATCTTGGGGGACATGAGAGAAGTTGCAATGAGGAGATAGAGGGGAAAATGACATATATTTTAATTCAATAATTTTTTCAGAGAAAAATTACACTCTTGCCAATTGTGACAATAATGGTGAAACTAAGTTATTTTAGGCAGTAAAGATAACACATGATCTCATCAATATGTTAAATGTAATGAATTGAAACTTATGAAAGACAGAGATATGTTAAACGTAAAGAATCACAGCTAACAGAAGTTGGAGATATAATGGTATTTTCCATTGACCAGTGACCTCAGGAAGCCAAAACTTGGGGAATTTCTTGTTGTGGAAAATTTTACATAGTTTAACTATGTAGAAATGTTTTGCATTTGTTTATGTTGTGGAATATTAGTTTAACTGTGTAAAGATGTTCTGCATTTGTTTATCTTGCCTGCCTAAAGCCCCTGATTCATCCAATAAAATGGCCAATAACTAGCCAGGAGGTACAGGTGGGTCTTCAGTGCAAAGAAAGCAAGAAGAGGAATCTGGGAGACAAAGACAGAGGGAGATGTCAAGGGCCAGCTGGACAGACATGAGGAAGCAGGAAAGCAGGACATACAGAATGAAAGAAAAGTAAAAGCAACAAGGCAAAACTGATGACTAGAAACAGGAAAATGAAGTTATAAGAGTGAGTGGGACAAGCATAAGCTAAAGGCCAAGCTTTCCTAATTAATAAGAAGTCTCTGTGTCATTACTTGGGAGCTGGTTTGTGTCCCAAAGAAAAACGCCAGCTTCACTTCCTGAAGAATGAATGCTCTGGGCCAGTGTGATAGGAGGGAGAAGCCCCCGGTACTGTTGTCCCAAGCGCTGGGTGTCTGTAAGCATTATGTACGGTACATTTCAGAAATCCGGAAGATAGTGTTTGAGGAGCTGACCATACCATAACTAGGAAGAGGATCCAAAGGTTAACCATGAAGTTATTACAAAATACCTCATTACTATATAAAATATTTACTGATATTTCCTGTATTGATAAGAAGGAAAAATAATGTATGACTACTCCCATAGATCATTCAGGGACTTTGTAGCAGGAATTTTAAATGGTCTTATTCGTAAAATCAAACCCAGAGCCAAGTATTGGGGTGAACGCTGCAAGATCAGAGAGACAGAACAAGCCACAGCTACCTCACCTGGCCAACTTCTTAGCTGATCTGGTTTTTTCAGACTGGAAGCCCCTGTGTCCTTATATCTGAATGGCTCTCAGCTGAACTGTGCTGCTCAAAACCTAAAAGCTTAACAAGCCAAATGCTTAACCAGCCAAGTGCTTAACAAGGTCAAATGCTTCTAGGTTCTGGTCCTCATGCCTTATATACCTTTTCTGATTTCTACCATCACTCCCTGGGATTAAAGGCTTGCTTTCTGGGATTAAAGGTGTGAGTCACCATGCTTGTCTGTATCCTTGAACAGATGGATTTCTGCCTCTGGAATGCTAGGATTAAGGACATGTGCTACCACTGCCTATCCTAAGTATCTAGTGGCTTTTCTGTTCCCTGACCCCAGATAAGTTTATTAGGGTTCACAATATTTTGGGGAACATAATACCACCACAGGACTTTACTCAATAAAATATGCAAAATATTAATTCTCAAGTTAGGAACATTTGAAATACAAAAATAGCATGAGCAATTGTACTTCTCAGCTTCAGCACACTGATGCACAGGTGTCATATGTGCAAAACATGCTTTAGGAATACCGCAAACACCTCAATCAACACCTGTCAGAAAAAACGGAAAGGAAAATGGGAAAAAGTTCAAGTGATGTGTATTTTATGCTAAATTCTCAACAGAGTTGTTAGTCCTGTACTTGCCTGTTTTCTCACATGATCAGATACCTAAATGACATTCAGTCTGTGAGTTCCTCCCCTGCCTGCTCCTTCTCATGTCCCGTGTCACCATCATTTGCATCATTAGTGAATCTGTAGAAATCCTGAAACCCAGATGACGGCCCGAGCTGCTGCATCAGACTCTGTATTTTCATCTCACTTCACATTCATCATTGTGGATAACTGTTGAAGAAACTCCTTCTCCCTTACCATAACTTTCTTCTGTATGTGTATATATGTATGGTGTATAGTAGCATATGGTACTGAATCCATGTTCTGTGGATGCATTTATTTCTACATTCCATCTGTCTTAAATGGGTTATGTCCAACTTAGCTTATATGATCTCTGACCTTGTGTTTCCCTGAAGATGGGTGCAGTGTGAGATCATGTGACCACTTGAAACATGTCTGAGGACTATTACTCACCTATGTAAGAAACATTTCCAGCTCTCTCATCCTGGGAAAAACTTAGATTTGTGTCCACAGGCACATGATGCTTGTGTTAGGGTTTCTGTTGCTGTGATCAAGATGATGAAAGACATCTTGGAGAAGAAGGGGTTTATTTTACACTACAACTTCAAGTAACTGTCCATCACTGAGGGAAGTCAGCACAGGCATCTGAGGCAAGAACTGGAGCAGAGGCCACAGAAGAACACTGCTTACTGACTTGCCTAGCCTGCTTTCCTATACCACATAGAAAAGCATGCCCAGGGTGGGCACCACCCATAATGGGCTGTGCTATCTCATGTCAATCACTAATTAAGAAAATACCGTCTAGGATTAGCTACAGGAAGTCTCAGGTAGGCATTTTCTCTATTGTTTTTCTGTTCTCAAATGACCTTAGCTAGTGTCAAGTTGACAGGAGAACTCTCCAGCCCAATGCATCTTGGTATTTATATTATTAGTGGCTTTAATTAATTAAAAGTGTGATATCATTCATTGATCTTTATTTCAGGAAATGCTGTCCTTCTGGGATGTGGCCATTGAGTTCTCTGCAGAAGAGAGGGAATGCCTGGAGCCTGCTCAGTGGAATTTGTACAGGGATGTGATGTTGGAGAATTACAGCAACCTTGATTTCCTGGGTGAGGATCTCATCCACAGTGAATACTTTTTTCACCATCAACATGTGGCTTCCTCACTTTGTATGGTATCTCATGGGAGCATTTCAACAGCCATTTTCATATCCTTCATTTTTAGAAAAATTAGGGAGATTGCTGTATTAAAAATAATTTGGGGGCTGGTGAGATTGCTCAGTTGTAAAGTGTAGCATGAATTGTTGGAAGGTCTTGTTAATAAAAACAAACCTGGAGCCAGGTATTAGGGTGAACGCTGAAAGATTCAGAGAAACAGAACCAGCCACAGCTAGCCTCACCTTGCCATTCCTCAGCTGATCTCGTTTCCTCAGACTGAAACCTCTGAGCCCTCATCCAGATGGATCTCAGCTGAACTGCTGCTAAAAGCTAAAGGCTTAAAGAGGCTCTAGTTCCTGGTCCTCGTGCCTTATATACCTTTCTGCTTCCTGCCATCACTTTCTCCGATTAAAGGCATGTGTCAACATGCCTGACTGTTTCCAGTGTGGCTTTTGAACTCAGAGATCCACAGATAAGTTTTTTAGGGTGCACAATATTTTGAGGAACAAAATATTACCATAGTAAAGGGCACTGAATACTTCTCTAGAGGACTTGGATTCATTTCCCAGCACCAATATGCAGCTCACAGCTATTTGTAATCCCAATACCTGACACGTTCATGCCGTGTGATATTTTTTTGTGTTCTCACATATAAAGCTTGCTTTAGTCAGAGGACAGAGCTAGCCACTATCTGGCCATAGAGGTTTGGAGGACTGTAGAGAGAAGTACAAAAAGTGATAAGGAGCTGAGACAGGATCTCAGCCCTTTTGAATATAGGAATGGAAGAGGTAGAAAGTGCATGGTGGCTGCTTCCCAACTTCTCTGATCTTTCAGGTTCTTTTCCTGATATCTGACCTCCAATTTTTTATTCATAAAATTAATTAGATTAAAACTTCATCCTCACACAGACAAACATGCAGACAAAATACCAATGCATATGAAAAATAAAAATAAATTATTAAAAAAAGAATCATTTCACTGTTGTTCTTTTTTTTTGTTTAACTTTTCTATGTTGGATGTGTATTTCCCTCACTCTAGTGGGACTGTAAGAAATTCAGTGGCATGAGACTTGGAGTACACTTATGAATTAAAGTGTTTCATAATTCAGTTTTAATGTTCTTTTCCCTTTAAATGAAACTCAGAATCTAGATGTTATAAATTCTAGATTTTGTGTGGTGTAGTGATCCTGTCAGAAAACATTTAAGGAATGTATTGTCTTCAATCATTTACTACATCATCTCTTTCCTTATAAGTCATGTACTGGAAGGCACATGACAATTCCAAGTAAAAGAACAAAAAAAACAACTTCTCCCTGTTTCCTACAAACAGGTCTTGCTGTGTCTAAGCCACACCTAGTGACATTTTTGGAACAAAGACAAGAGCCTTCATATGTGAAGAGACAAGGAGCAGACAACACGCATCTAGGTATGTAGGAATGAGGGGTTTGGGTCCAAATATTTAACAGAAAGACAGGGTTTCACATGTGCCTTGATATATGATACTATGGGAAACATTCTCTAGGTCTCTCCTTCATGTTTTTCTTGTCAAAGAAAAATCTCTCATTTCTTTATGATGGTTAACCCTCTTAAGCTTTGTATTTCCCCAACAGAGAGCTGTTCGTCTATTTACAGCGACTTCCAAGGGTGTTGTTGTTGTTGTTTTTGAGTCTCCATTAAAGTGTAAGGTGCAGGGAACAAGAACTGCGTGCTGGCCACACTGGGAGCCATTTATTCGCAGAGGTTGAGAGTAGACTCATGCCAAAAAGATCGCTACACCAAAGTGAGCATGATTGTGTTTATTAAGCCAAACCCACAATTCCATCACTGAGAGGCAGGCAGAGACAGAAACAGCAACACTTTCAGTTCTACTGATTAGAACAATTTGGGGGAGGGGAGCAGTTGGATAAAACTCATACAAACCAGAGCCACTTTGTGCAGTCCATTCCACACTGATCTTAGGGAAGAGTCAAAGCATTAACATGTTGTATAAAGAGGTTGAAGTAGGCCATAAGTACACTAATTTAACAGAGGCTGTTTGGTATTTTCATCACTTTTACCACCAGTTGGTTTAGCAGGGTCTGACCATTCAACCTAGGAACAGTAGGACAGGATGAGCTAAAAGGCCTTACATTTTTGACTCAAGGGTGCCCAATAAACTAGTTTGGATACAGTGATTGTGTGTCTCTCTTTCATGACAGTTAGTAGATTTAGGGTTCAGTGTGCTCTAAGGCTCCATAGGATTTGGGGTTTGTTTTCTTTTTTCAAGTTAATATATTTATCATATATTAGGTATATCTGGTATTTGGATATATTCTAAGTCTCAGCTTGTTAGAGAAATTATAAACATTTATGTATATACCTGATATTCCCAGATACATAAGTGATAGTAAAATGTTTTGTTGGAGCTGCAGTCAGAGAAGCCCCTGTGGCTAGTCATATAGGAAGCATTCTTGGCTAACAATATCGTGACTCTAATGGTAGGAAGAGATCTTGTGGTCTCTTCTTCTCAAGGTCTCTTGCTGATTCTCAAATTTCCTCTAAGTGTGTACTTTCATTGGCTTCCACATTTGTAATGGGATCTGGACTATGGAGTGTAGGAGGTAGTTTTCATAGGACCATTATCAGCTCTGTCCCACAAACCACTCCCAAATAACCACTCGGAGACTTAATATTAATTTTTTTTTTTCTGAATGCCGTTTATTGAAAGAGGGAGGAGGTCTTAAATACAGGCTTATAGCACAATGGGAGAACCCCAGAGGGCAGAAGTTTGCTACCAATGTTTTACAATCTTGCATCTAAGCTGTTAATGCCCATTATGCAGGATAGATGGACAAGGAACTTCCCTTAAGCATTCAGGAGGGTGGAACCAGGCAGGGAATTAGCACAGGGAGACTCTCAAGGTCAAGGTCAGCAAGCAAGGCAACAGTTACCCAAAATGGGGGCCAGGACCCCACAGGTCCCCCTTTTACTAGAAAATGAGCTTCTGACTTAGGTTGCCTGGGACGTCAGCAGGTTACCTTACCCATCATGGAGATGCCTGCCCAGGCTACACAGGCGCTCTGTCTTAGGTTGGTGAGTGCCCCCCCCCCCCGAATTACCTGTCTCTGAATACTCATTATCATACAGGCTCAATTGTGTGTGAGCTGCAGAGTTAACTGCTGACAAAGATCTCAAAGTGGCGCTGGGCTTGCAATTTGTGTGTTTGACACAGAAAAGACCAACAGAAGTCCTAACCCACCCATAGCCAGTAGGCTAAAGGCAACTGAGCCATTCCCTTCCTTAACGAGCCTTATTGCAAATTGGAGTCCTTGTAAGATGGTATCCCCAAAGCAAATGGATCTTGAGTTTATAAATGTATAATTTTCAAAGCCAATCAAAATGTATATAACTATTGAATTAAATTTATCATACCCAATAGAATGAAAGATTAACTAACTGTGGTAGCTACTTTTGCTGCCAGGGTCTCCACTGTGCCTGCTGTAGTAAGCAATTATGAAATGGTAATCCCAGAAACAGTAGCAGCAGTGGCCGCCACTACTATAACAGCAACAATGGCAGCAGTGATGTCAAATTCTCTTCTGGAGCATGTGGGCATTCATTGGCATGGATACAACTCCAGGAACACAAACCTCCAAGGCCCATTTTTTTTTATCCCAGCACGACTTAAGCTGGTAGCTCTACAAAAGAACAACTAAGAACCATAAAGAAAAAACAGGCAGCTCACAGCATAACTAATGGTCTCATAATGGCTATATTCAGGCTCATAAATTTTAAGGTATCTTCAAAGGCGGCTAAATGAATTCCAGGAGGCCAATAAATGTTCCACAGAGTCACTCCTGAAAAGTAGGTACTACACCAGCTTGAAGAGGATTGTGAAAATGAAAAGGCTTACCTGGCATGCAACTGTTAACAAATGGAGGTCAGTGACCTTCAGGGTTATCCTTATTCTCTAAGGTATCTGGGTGATACATTCTCAAACATACTCGAAAAAGCAGTTACCATACATTACCATACATTACGCATGGCTACAGTTCTTAGGCTTACGTTAATGCTTGCCAAGGCTGGCCATATTGGGCTCTCAATCCCCATTGGCATCAGAAGGGGAGAGTTTTTCACAAAGGCCCATGCAGAGGCCATGTTGGGCTTCAGCAGCAGCCACAGGGCACACACAGAACTCAGGAATCCAAAGAGGGAACCTCATTGTCCTGAGGAAAGACATAAACAGAGCCCTGGGCCCACACCAACACCAGATTGGGTCTCCTCCAAGTGCCAGCAGAAAGATCCTTCCATCACTCCAGAGGGTGATTTGCAACAGGAGCCCTCCAGTGCTTATCTGCAGCAGATACTCCAGCAGAATCCACTGATAAAAAATTTAAAATATATAAAACAAGGGAAAGAATAGAATGTGGAGAGGAATAATGAGTCCATAGTTCCCCCCCTTTTATATTAATGCTCAGCTTGATAGCTTAGGCTTATTAATAACTAGCTCTTACATGTTGTATTAACCCATATGTCTTATTTACACTCTGTCACTTTGCAGTACCTTTTCTCTCTGTGGTATGTTTATTTCTTTCTCCTTTCCATCCTGGTGATTCCTTTGCTTCTGCCCTTCTTCTTCCCAATATTCTCTCTGCCCCAAAAATTCTTCCTAGACTTGGGTCAATCAGCTTTTTATTAACAACAAAAGCAATGCATCCTCACAGTGTGCAGAAAGATTATTTTACATTGTTTCCTCCTTTTTGTCTATTGAAAAGGAATGTTTTAATTTTAACAAAGTAAAACTATGTATAACAAAAAAAATTGCTGTGAAGCAGGTTATTCTGAAAGGCTGTCCTATCATTTCTTGGCACAGTTTGGCAGTTCTGTCTTTTGTGTCCTGCTTGTCCATTTTTGACAGCACACGGTCAGCAGTTGAGGCAAGGGCACTTTCTTTCCCAGTGTCTAACATTTGCCACAAGGAAAGGAAACTCCATATGGAGATTCTCCAATGCCCATCATCTTCTCTGAAGTAGATTGGTGCTGCCAGGATCACACATAGCTCATTATTATTTAAAAAAAAAAGGGGGGGAACCTATGTTATTAACACATCTTAAATACCACATTCTGTAGATGTATGAAGCATGTGAAGATGACCTGTCTATCTAAAATATATCTCTCTTTGACCTTGAAAACATACCTAACCTGACTACAAGTTTTTTTGCTACTGGTGACTAACTAATAACCTTCTATTTCTTTATTATCCTAAATAGTTTATAATAATAACTTTCAAGGACTAGCAATTTTCATTATGTTGTTAAATGAGTTGCATAGGTAGAATACCTTTCACAGGAGTAGAATTGTATGTACAGTATGTTCTAATAAAAATAACCTCAAATTTATATCAATATACAAAAATCCAAACAAATCTAAAGTATTTAAAGCTGGTAGATGCGTTTTTTGTTGAAAAGTAGATTCAACAATCTACCTCTTTATCCTATCCTATCATATCTATACCCCCTTTTTCTTTTCAGAGTAGATTCAATAATCTATATTTTTATCCTATCATATCTGTCCTCCCTTTTTTCAGAGTAGATTCAGTAATCTACACTTTTATTCTATTATATCTATATTCCCCTTTTTTATTTTCAAAACAAGATCCCTGAATCAAACCTCCTTTGCTCAACTCTTTTCCTAATCATTACCAATAACAACTTGTAACCAACCACCCTAAATGATGACAAACATCCACAATCCCTTGAATGACCAAAAACTACACACATCACCTCTTGGGAATATTGGTGTTTTTTTCTTAAATTTACTTCCTGCTGTCTGTGGGCAATGGAATCTTTAGGGTACCCTGAAAAAAATTGGGATAATTATCAAGTTCTTGGAGAGGTAGTTTTATTATTTGTTGTCCAGTTTCTGTGTAATAGGAAAATGCAGCACTTATCTCAATTCCTGACTAGATTAATCTGTGAGGCTGGATCATTTCAGCTAGTCATATTTAAATTTTCCTGACCAGGTTGTAGTCTAAAGCTGATCTTTAGATGGTGTTTGTCAGCTTAGTGTCATTACCATAGTCTGGGTGGAATCATCATTGTGGGTTCCAATCATCATTTTGGAAACTTTGGAAATCACTGTTAGAAAAGTTTATCCTTCACTATAAATAACTTAAACATTTTAAATGTCATATACAGTAGATCTCAAAGAGGTTAAAGGATCAATATTTGTTATGTACATCCAGAGTACAAAAACTTAATTCTCTAGTTATCTGAGAGAAATTCAAACTAAAAATCATGTACAAGAAGCTAGATGAAGCCTGTTTCTAGAATTAGATAATACTCTATATGATCATGACAAAAGTTTAATATATATATATATTTTTTTATCTTATAAATTTTGTGATAATAACAAAGTATTAAAGATTTATAATAAAACCAAATGATT